TAACTTTTTCAAAGTAACGTGCCCGACACTGTTCGTAACATATGGAACAATCAGATCTGTGATATAAGATTAAGCTTGTTTATTTGGGGTTTTGTTTTGTGAGGACAATTTTAAACAGTAAGCCGATTAAGCCTATCATGACAGCTTTCACAGAATAAAAAAGGTTCAGATGAGGTCATTTTCAGATTTACCAGTGCCTTAAATGTCATAAATGTTCTAAAATACCTTGAGAAATGTCTGCCATTTTCTGGCTAGAAGAGAGCTAGAATTTTGTGAGATAATAGGAAGACTGAACATGATTATGGAACTTATTGGATGTAGAAATGTTGGCAGCCTTTTGGGGATCTCAGAGTTTAGGCAAGATCCACATGATCTAATAATAAATATGGAAATTACTGTGTTGATAAAAATTGGAACTATGGTAGCCAAAATTAGGATACTAAACACACTTTAAAATATGAGATTTGCAATCTCGTTTGTGGCCTTTGCAATATGAAACAGTTAATAAAAGCACATCACAAGAAGACTAGAAAACATATCTTCTTATAGACCCTAAAAGGAAATGAAAAACTGACTGATTATCAGCAAGTTAAATGATTCACAAAGGCTGGAGATGAGAAATCAGCAGAAACATTCTGATAGATAAATATTAATCTTTTTAAAATCTATTTTTTCTTTACTTCCAAGCGAATAAAAAACAAGGTAAAACCCATTAAAGCTGTCAATATAATCTTAGAGTCATACCTCACTATTTATTGTATAGAGATATGTGAGCAGAAAAAAGGTGAAAGAATAGAACCACAGTTTCTCTTCAAAATAAAGGGTTATGACTTTAGTCAAAGGGGGAATATGTTAATCCAAAGCCCACTTCATTAAAAACTAATTAAACCCATTGCATCATGTTAAACCCCACATTCTGCCTCCAGCAAAATCTTTAACACCTTTATGAAATGAAACAGGTGAGGCAGAAAACGGTAAATATATTTACTCCACTTGTGTTTGGAGCATTCTTTACAAAGAAACTATCATTCTACATGCTCACCATTTCTCTATTCATGAAAATTAATAATTCCAGCATCAGTTTCCTGTTTTTATCATTGGGTATATAACACATGCATTTTATTCAAAAGGATTAAAATTTGTGTTTCAGTTCTTTGTTAATGTGTTGCTTTTGAAGAAATAATAGATTTACGTTTACCTCTGTCAACCCCTTGAATAGTTAATAAATCATTTATTATGGTTATAATACAGTTATGACCATACTGAGAAGAAATGATCGGAATTCAGGAGAATTCCTTTATTTTCTATATTTATTTATATTTTATTTAGAAATTGTATATAACAGGAATCAAGTAAAATCTGCTCACACAAATAAATTTTTTTTTGGTTGGCCTCAGTTAAAACCTGTGGACTTCCTAAGCATTGAGGGTCCATAGGGTAAAGGCCCTTGACAGTAATTTATCCCCGCAATTTTTAATACTACAATGTAGATTCTTAACTCAGTCAGAACCTTATCTATAAAATCGCATACTTGTATTCTAGCCTCTGGTGGATAATCAAATTCATGTAAGTGTTTAGTTTTATCCAAAAGCCCAAAGGCCTCCAAACCTCTCCAAACCTGTCTATGGCAGTTTTAAGTTGGAATTTACATTTAGTTGGATGTAGAAATACCTCCCTGTTGTTTTACATGACCTCGAATCATGTGGTGAAAATGCATGTATCACTTGTGAAACTGCAGGCATGTTAACATAGATGTTGTTTTTTGTGTGGATTTCCTAATTTAATTTTTTGACTGCTCTACAATAAAACTTTCAGCATTGATGTTGAAAATACATTTATTTTTGTTGAAATAAAACATTTATGGTTATAAGGAATGTTCAGATACCAGATTTAATCTATCTTTGGTATCAAGAATACCAGTACTGACATTCTAGTACTTGCCAAAACAGAGTACTGAAAAATAGCTTTGTCAAATCACAAAAGTTTTGATCTTTTCTTCTAAAATGCCAAGGCACAAAGACAGACTTTTACCTTGGATCATCCTGGCCTAGTTGCTGTAGACGGGGCTTTTTTCCAATAGGTAAGGACTATTTGACTGCTGCAGCTAGGGTAAACTTTATTGGTTTGATAGTGTGATCTTTGTCAAATATAGAAGTGTTATCAGTTCAGAGTATAAGGATGTTTTTACAAGTATGGACACTTAGCACTGGTATTATTCCCAGCATTTTAAATGTGACTCAATTTGGAAGAAATAAGACTTAGTAGTTTAGAACAAACCAATATAATATAAATATTTTTAATTTGAGTGCATATATATTATTACCGTTTTAAATAGCTTATAAATCATATATGACTGTTATAGTGCAATTGTTACATTAATGAGTAGAAATTTACTTGAATTCAGAACTTGTTTTTTTTTTTATTATATTAAACTATATGTTATATTAGAAGAATCAAGATAAATATACTCCCTATTTTTTCTTTTTTAATCTATAGATTAAAGTTGGCCAGTAAGACATTTTTTCCATTTTAGCCTCCTAATAGTCCTTTGCGGATGACTACATTTCCCTGGTCGACTTTTTACTTATTCCCCGCCCTTTTATCAACTCGATCTAGATACTGTTCTCTGATTGGTCAAGCTTACGTCAATCAAAGTGTGAATAGCATGTTTGGTTTCGGCGTCGGTTGTTGATGTCGCTGTCAGAAGTCAGGCTGTCCGCCGCACTCAGAGCAGCTAGCAGGTAAGCCGGCAAGTTATAAACCAATTAATGCGGTTAGCGTTTACTTTTGACCCTATAACCACATTACAATGACTTGAAGCGGTGATTTTAAATCAAATTAAAATCAGAAACAATTTGTGGTCTGCATACACGGTTTAGTTTCACATTATTATGAGATATATCTTTATGATAATTGAGCTAGCACGTCACTGAGCATCTCTGATGGGATTGTTTAGTTATTCAGTGTAGAAGCAGCTTTTTTAACGTTTAGTCCCCACAGATATATGAAGGTCATACACTGAGATGGCGCTGCTGTCATCTAATTTTAGCTCTTCAAAGCTCCAGAGCAACATTTTCACCGTGTTTGTCACCGTAGGGCACAAAGGGTGTTAATGGACAGCATAAACAGCTATATCCTGAGATAATATGTTGCAAAACTTGTTGCTCAAGATAAAAGGTGACATCACTGCCCTGGACACAAAATAAATCATTCATTAATGCTGACAAGAGGCGTCATTGGGGAAAACAGAGCTGGTGAAAGTAAACAAAGGGATGTGAGTAGAAAAGAGATCATAGATAATTGTCTTCAGTCATCAATCATGTCCTTGTTTTAAGGTGACAATGCAGTTCCTTGGCCGGCTGCTGGACACCGTCTCCTCTGTGTCGACCCTCTTCACCAACCCTTACCGGGTCAGAGATGTTCCACTGTCTGATTATGGAGGAGGAGGAGGCAAAGTTCTGCTGAAAGAGGAAGGTCGCATTGTCCTGTACAAAAACACACAGTATCAGTCATGGGATTGCATACTCAAGTCCGCAGAGACACCAGCTGTTGCTCTAAGGTCATTAAAGATCACATGCAGTAGATTTTGTTTAATGCTTTAATCCTGTGGGACAGTTTTTATTTATTTTGGTTTCCTATCTCCAGTGGCTTAACGACACAACAATAGGCCCGTAAGCAAATTATCTGGGTGGGCCCCATATGAAGCTGCCGTAGACAACCGACCCAAAACGTGCCCCATACATAAACACTTCATCATTTGATAATTCTTCAACTTCCATACACATGGATATACTTTAGTATATTCTGCTGTAAAATGAGTCTTATCGGGCTACCTTGAGTTTCACAGCTCCCCTCCTCACCCACGTTCTCTCCATTCATCTCCTGGTCGCAGTCTTTACTCACTGCAGCAGCAATGTCCTCCTCTCCCTCTGCGGTTCTTTGAAAGAAGGTGTTTATTTTGGGACGTTTTTCCCGTTCTTCCAGCAGCTCTTCTTTCCTTTTTCTTTTCTGGAATCCGCTTAAGTACTTCATTTTGGTATCCAACGTTGCTAACACATTGTACGTAACGGTTATGGTTTTAATCTACGCTCTGGGTCACCCATAATTCCAATTCGTAGTGTAAAAAAATAAAACACTCAAATACATAGTTCTTTTAAGATCTTTGTTGCGGTTTGAAACATTATATGAGTGTATTGCTTACCAACCATCTAATGAACTATACAGTTATTAACTTAGTAATTAAAAGTACCACTGTCCGCTTTGCTATTGGTGTCGTGTTTAAATGGCTCACCATCATGTTGAAATCTGCCATGTGTTGCGGTTTAAATATGGTCCAGTCAGTCATTCTAGTATCAGGTGGATTTAAAAGGAGGTTTTCGAACCATTACATCTGCAAAGATACGTCCTGGTCCACAATTGCGTAGGGGGCCTAGCAGGTATCAGCGACGGGGCCCGTAAGAGGTCGGGGGCCCCTAAGCAACTTCAGTATCTGCTTACCGATATTTATGCCATTGCCTATCTCCCTCTTTTTTGTCTAAATTGAGACCTGAAACAGGTTATGGATGCTTTAAATTGATGTTTTGTTATGATCTCCTTTAATTCAGAGCATGTTAAAGAATATTTAGTTAGTTTTACTTATTCAATTTATACTGGCCTATTTATTATTTTTGCTCTGAGTTGTCCGAGCTACTCCTAGTTTGCTAATAATTCATTTTATGAAGCAGCCATTTAGTACTGTGCGGAAATATTCCTAGACATGCCAAAAGCAATGTTACAAAGACAGATTTAAATATATTTTACTGGGAGTTTTTGTGCTAAAGGAATTGGTAATAGTTTGAAGTGGAATGACATTCAGTGGAATGATATTCAGGAGTTTTATTTTGTCTCAAAAAATTTTTAAAAAGTATGCATCCCCTTTTGCCATTAATACCCCTAAAAATGTAGGTTAACAGTCATATTTTTGCTCCCCGACACTGTAAAGCATGTTTGGCCATGGCATAGTATCCCCCAATTAGGATTACGTTTTTTGAAACAGAGAAAAGATGTTACTCCTCCAACTATTGATATTAAATCTGGGTAGTTTTGCCACATTCCCACCAAGCAAACTTTATTTCCTTTTTCACTTCTTTAAAAAATCAGTATGTAACCACCAAACTGTCCACAGGCTGTTTCAGGTGGGGTCAGAGGTAGATGCCATGAACTGGTTCCCCCAGTATGCCCTCAAACTTCGACCTTTCTACGAGATTCTCCCTCTGAAGGCTGATACAGTGCAGACAATCGTTGACTGCATCCGTAACCATCCCGACTGGAGCTCTGCTCACATAGCTGTAGAGACTGGCATGAGAGAATGTCTCAAACATAACTACGTCCAAAGGTAAGTAACTGATTAGTTTTGTATGGGTGTTTATTGACAGCTCTACCTTTTTAGCTCATCAATCTGTGGTACCATTCAGTAATAATGAAATTAAAGATGCACACAATATTTTCGGCATCTCATTCATTGATTAATTAGCTTTATTGATCTCACAGTGGAGAAATATACTCATTACATCGGCTCAAAAAGTCAAAAAGAAGAAGAAGAAGACGCTAAAAGGAATTAAATGTGCATGGGATTATACTGTATACAACACTGT